GCTTTTATGTAGACTAAGTGTGATTAGATGGTTATGTTTGTTTAAAATTCGTTTAAGTGTGCTGTGACATGCGAAATCAAGATGTTCTTCAATAGGAAGGATAGAAAATACAATTTTTGAAATGTAAAATTGATGAAAGCAATTATACATTTTTCTGAAATTGTGGCATATCAAAGACTAAAACAATAGGCAAGGCCGTTCCGAGCGGGGGCCCAGACAAGAGAGTGCTTTGAACGCCAAATTACCAATGGCTAGCGAAATTAAATAAGCATCAGCTGCATCAGGATAGCATGATTAAAATGATTTTCAATACGAATCGTAATCAAAAAAAAGTTTAGACGAAAAAAATCTTGTATTAATCCTATTAGATCATTGAATGACTGTTTTACAACAAATTTTCTTGTCTTGAAACTATTACAATGATACTTAATAAGTTGATATCCTGTCAAAAATTGTGGAAAAATTTAATAGAAATAAAATTAAGAAATTAAATTAAGAAGTAAAAATAGAAAAAATCATAAAAGCTGAGCTGAAATTAATGTCGAGAGATTTAAAATTCCCACGAAAAATAGTTCTATAAAATTTCCATAAACTTTTAAAACAATGATCTATAGAAATTCTATAGAGTATTTATTATAAAATGTCTTATGATTTTACGTCTGATGACGGTCTGAGCTAATCAGACTGAAATATTACATAAATAAATTAAATATTAGTTCTAAGCTGTATTTTATGTGTTAAATATTAAATAAATTAATTTAAAGTACTACAAGAAATGTCATTAAAACAACTAATAATTTTTATAAAAACTGCTATAAAAAATTTTTTTTATATAAATATATGTAGAAAAAAAAATTTATTGGAGTTTCTTTAGAAATTAAAATAGATTCAATTGAAATTTTGTAAAATTTCTATATGTTTCAAAAGTTTATAGTTTATGTTTCATAATGTAACTATAATAGTTAAGATATTGTGTCAATTAAACCAAAATTATATACAATATTTATAAAATGGCAAACAAAATATTGTTAATAAAAAAATAAAACTAGGTACAAACTTGAAAACAGTATGGCATACAAATTAGATTTTTAAATGCGTGTCTTTGTTGTCATTTATAAAACAATTAAACAAAAGAAGGTAAGGCCTATGAAGGTATAAAACGAGGTAAGTGCCTATGCAGGTATAAAACGAGGTAAGTGCCTATGCAGGTATAAAACGAGGTAAGTGCCTATGAAGGTATAAAACGAGGTAAGTGCCTATGAAGGTATAAAACGAGGTAAGTGCCTATGAAGGTATAAAACGAGGTAAATGCCTATGAAGGTATAAAACGAGGTAAGTGCCTATGAAGGTATAAAACGAGGTAAGTGCCTATGAAGGTATAAAACGAGGTAAGTGCCTATGAAGGTATAAAACGAGGTAAGTGCCTATGAAGGTATAAAACGAGGTAAGTGCCTATGAAGGTATAAAACAAGGTAAGTGCCTATGAATCAATTATGCAAATACTTTATGGGGTAGCAATAATAAAACAAAACCTAAATCTCTTTATCATTGTCATAAAGTTGTCAATAAATTTTAAAAACCGTTTTACACACTCTATGCTACTTCTAAAAGAGATGAAACATATACCAAATAAACGTATATAAGATTTTATGCTTTATATTTAAATGTAAAAAAAACTGATCTTTTTGTGTGTTTTAAAAAAACCTGTCTATTAAAACCTCAAAATAAATATGATTTACGTACTGATAATTATCTCTATACCCTTTTGTCGAAATAAGTATAATCAATTTTGTATTTCTTATCGTAATCCATATCTATGTAATAAAATAGTTATACCTGATATTATTTAAACGTCTCAGCTAACACAAAACGTTCAACGAACGTTGCCAACGTTTAAGAACGTTCTATGAATGCTCACAGAACGATCTCGAACATTCGCAACGTTCGTCGAACGTACTTAAACATATTTTTTTTGATTGGGGTAGTTACACAGAAAGTAGCCAGTCCACAATATCGGCCAAATTAAGATATTGATGTCACCCGACGGAGAAAGGTCAATTCTATGCTCAACTAAAACCAGCCATACCGAAATTCACAGTAATTGCCTCACAAAATATTTGTTGAATGCTAAAAAAACATTTTAAAATGAAACAGAAGTGCTATAATCTCAGTTTTAGTTTTTTGTGGCTGGCTGCTTTCTGCGCAACTACGTTCAATTTTTCTATAAATTTGACTTATGATTATTTCAAACAAAAGTTAAAAGAAATTATTTTTTCACCAATCTTTATCTATTTCTAACGATTAAATATCATTACTTTTATTTTTAATTTCTAAATGTATTTAATTGTAATGTATATAACTTCACAAAAATTGTAAAGTTATTAATTAAATATTGTTGAAATATAAATTGTACAGAGCTTTGTGATGAGATCACGACGATCTTCTTGAAGTCTTTTATTTATATTGTATGTATTGTAAAGAACTGTTATTGTAAAAAAAAAAAAAAAAGTGTTGTTTACTGCGACTGGAAATATATTTTAACGTTCACCAGTTTCTAAAGTCAACCAAGAAATACATAATTCCGCATAGCATAAATCAGAGCCGCCGAGAGCTTTTATGACGCCCGAGGCGTAGCTGCAATTAGACGCCTCTATAAGCTTGCATGTTTTTAAAAGGAATTTCTATTAAAATATGTATAATCCAAGTTATGACAATGTCGGATCAAGGGGGGCTAGGAGGGCTATATGATTAAATCCCAAAATATTTTTATGGGGTCGGTTTATCGTGGATATCTGATTGACAAAATTTTTACTAATTTTGCCTAAGCATTTAACGCAGTGCCACACAAAGACTTTTTTTTATAAGAATCATATCTTTAACATTTCTAGCCTCAAATGTTATTAAAGTGGGTTATTGGTTGTTAGTTAATAGACAATCAGTAGTAATAGGAGAATAAACATCCGATAAGAAAAAAAAAGATTAGTGTTGTCCTTCAAGGATCAGTTCTTGCTTTACTACTATTTTTGTTTCTTGTCAATGAACTTAGTTACCAGACTGCATTTATAACTAAATCAAATTATACGCCGATGATTGTATCATGATCAAAAGAATTATTGATGTCAATCAATTTTCCTCGTATTATGGAAATTTGTAATCGGGTATCGACAGCACTGTATATTGGTCGCAGAACTGGATTGAGAACTTTAACTTGCAGAAGTGAAAAGCAATGCAAGTTGGTTATTAATAATTTTTGCCTTTTTTTTTTTTTTTAAAAAAAAAAGATTTTGTTCAATGATATTTAAAAAATATTTAACTTAATTAGTGAATGTTAAATGTGTTGTATAAATCTTATTTAATTCTGGTGCGGTTTTTGAAAATGTAGATGTAACATAATTAGAAAAAAAAAAGATCATAAACTAGTGGCGGATTAAGACTTCTTAGGGCCCGGGGCTATTTTTGTTTTTGGACGGCTGAGCCTAAAAATGACTAAAAAACAGACTAAAAAAAAAAAAAAAGGTCTTCAAAAATTTTTGAGGGCCACTAAATTTGCGGGGTCTGTGTTTTTAAATGCTTAGGCAAAATTGGTAAAAATTTTGTCAATCAGATATCCACGATAAACCGACCCCACAAAAATATTTTGGGATTTAATCAGTTTAATCAGGTTTATTGAGACCCTGATAATAGATTGTATACGGTATTTCATAATCCTATCACCAGCTAGTCATAAAATTTATGAAAAATAAGTTTACAAATTATAAACTATTTATGAAATTTTATAAATGAAAAAGTAATTATGAACTCTATTTTTCCAAAAATAACCTGCAAAGTTTTATCTTAAAAACATTAGATAAATTTTTTAAAAAACTAATACCAAACCTCATAAGATAGATTCTATTTAGACGCTCAAATATATTGTATAGACCTACCCGCACTTTCGGCGGCCCTGAAAAAAATCACATAAAATTGAAATCAGCTAATTTGCTACAGTTGACACATATATCTCATCAGTTTTAACCTGATGTTGCCCTTTATCACCTCTTTTGTTCAAAGTTGTCTTGATTCACCCTGAATATAAAATAATTTTTTATCCAACCTGAAAAATAGTAAAAAAATTCGCAGCTTAGCTTTTTCTAGGAAATTTGTAGTAGTCTCCTCGTTGGTAAAACATCATTTTGGTAAAGTTTTAAAGATGTTTATTAATTGTTGCTGTAAAAGAAAAATTTCTCATCATTTTATATAATTCTGACGTTTTTAGTCTAATTTTCAAAACCAATTTGAACTTCATCTTTTGATTATCAAAATTTTATTTTTATAACTTACACGTTTTTTAATCATGTAAAATAAAAAATTTAATTTTATAACAATTCTGAGTAACTTAAAATGGGTTCTAAAAAAGTAATGTTTTTGTCTATACCTATTTATATTTGCTGCAACCACCTACTGTTTCATAATTAAAATATGGCCAGAGATGAACAACGAACTACATTGAACTTCGAACCTCACAATTCTGAAGCAAGTGTAAATTCACCGCCGAGCCACTGCTGCTCTTTTGTTACCGTCATCCAATTTTAAGATTCACAAATAAACAACAATAAATTTAAAAGTTTGTTAAAAGATCTTCTTAAAATGTATTGTCGTACAAAGTGGACCCCTAATCTATTTGGAATTCGTTACTATAAAATGGAAATTTTATATTATGTAATAATATAAAAATATAAACTGAAAAAGAGGTCTTTTAAAAACTTGAAAACGAGAATTATTTAATACCCGCCATGTGCGGTTTAAACATGGCAGAAGTAGCGCCATCAGTTACACTAAAAATTGAAAGTATTAGTACGCCTTTCCACTCTCTTTTTATGCTTTTCTTTTCAAAAAATTATATTTTTGTTTTGTTGATTTTATAATTCTATCTAAACTTATACAAATTTTAAAATAACATGAAATAAAATAAGTAAAAAACATGAAACGTCATATTATATGTGCCTGACTATAGCGAAACTGTATTTAAAAAATTTATGCACAGGAAAAAAAAAATGACTGAAGTTCCAAATAAAGTAGCAAAATTAAATCATGAAGACAAAGAAGAACGTTTTGTAGATACAGAATATCAAGACATAGTCGAACAAATAGATGGTGTTCAAAATCAGATAGATGCTCTAAATGAACAAGCTTCAGAAGAAATATTACAAGTTGAACAAAAATATAACAATCTTAGAAAACCTTTTTTTTCCAGTCGAGCAGATCTTATAAGTAAAATTCCAAAGTTCTGGGTTACTGTCGTATCTTTTCAATATACATATAAGGTGTAAGTATCTTGTATGATTTTCTCATTCATGCATTTTTATTGCATAGCTAATACTATATTTAGTTACATACTTTACAGCATTTAGTTCATTATGTATCTTAATTCATTTGAGTGCAAATATATGTCCTGATGAGAACTAATGGTTATAGTAATTTAGGTCACATATTTTGATTAGCCAGCTAAAAGTTTATTAAGTTACTGATTATTTTGTCATATGCTAGAGAAATTTTCTATTCAACTTTATATTTAATGTATTTTATCTCAAATCATTTATTTTGTATTATCATTAGTTTTTTGTTTTTTTTAATTGTAAATAATAATAAAAATGAGTTGCTATTACTTAACTATACTTAAGTTTGTAAATCATCCACAGATTTCAGCTTTATTAGACGAAGAAGATGAAGAGGCATTACATTATTTATTTTCTGTTGAAGTAGAAGAATTTGAAGATATAAAATCAGGATATAAAATAAAATTTGTAAGTTTTGTATTCAATTCAGAAATAGCATTTTTACCTTTTAATAGGATTTATTAGGACCTTTATTAGAATTGTGGTGCTACTTAACTTTAGGACGTACATTTTTTCATTCACAAATTTAATAATATTCATTATAGACTCTGAAATAGCAAGACAGAATAAAGTTTATATAGAATAAAACATATATTTAAACAAAACCTGTACAAGTGCTTTAAGCTAAAAATTAATACATTCAAAATCAAAACATTTAAATATCCCTTAACCAGTATCATATTTTTTAACAGTTATCCATTTATAATTTTTATATTTTAACAATTATCTATATATAATTTTTATATTTACACAAAACCTTAAATATGTACTTGTGTTTAAAGTATTTAAATATATTTTTAAATTGACAATAGGCATAAGTTACAAAAAGTGACTAATGCAGTGTTATATATATATATATATATATATATATATATATATATATATATATATATATATATATATATATATATATATATATATATATATATATATATATATATATATATATATATATATACATTTATATATTAACATTGCATCAGTCACTTTTTTGGTTTAGAAAACATAAAAATGTTTTAGTTTATCAACAAGTTATATTTATACAAAATTTACAGCTCAATATTTTTGATTACTTAATCTGTATAGTGCACTATTTTTTTATGTAATAAAATCACTTCCCTAAAGTGTTGGAAGGGATTATAGGAAGATAAGGAGGAGCTTATTTTATTTTTTTAACTTCTTATGAATTTCTTTTGTAACTCTCTCAAGGTTCATAGCACTCTGGTAAAATCAGAGGTATGTTTTGAAAATTCAGAAAATTAGTGAAAACATGGAAAAGTTAGGGTGTGTTTCTCTAAAAATCACTGAAAATCAGGAAATATTTTCAAAATAACCATTAGCTGACTGTTAGTTCTATATTCTGCTTAAATTTGTGCTGCATAATTCAAAATTGTTCAAGTTCTAAAATTGTTAGAAGAGGATATTTAGTAAACATTTGCTGCAATATAAAGCTAATTTTGTTTACATTTATTTAGTATATTTCATTTTTGAATTTGCTAGATATAAAAACAAATAGAGAAAATTAAGTGCGAAAAGATGTAAAAACATTTTTTCTAAATTCTTTTTATTAATTTCACAGCCTGCACTATATCTTACTTTCTTTTTACATTTACAGTGTCCTCATTATGTTTCTATGTCTAACATCCTTTTCAATTTGTAAATGTTTAAATTTGTAAATGGTTTATAAAAAAGCATGTATTTAGTTGAAATTAAAAAATGCATGTGTTTAAAAATTAAGTTTTTAATCTGTTTAGGTATTATATATTCTGTAGGATTTGATTGATTACAAATATATTATGTTGTTTACTTATTGAATCAGGAGTTAGAGAGTTTAGACTTGACTATTGAATATCTAGTATTGAATTAAACTGGTTTTACCTGACTTAGACTTATGTAAAATGAATTGACACAGACTTTTGACATGTAAAACAACGGCTTTACAGCTCTGGTTGCAAAACTATTATTTCCTTTGACATAATCAGGAAAAGATCATATACCTTTCGCAACCTTAAGTCAAGAAATAAATACTTGTAAACAGGAGAAAACCATGTAATACTCAGGGAAAATTGGTTTTCAAATTTGCCATGAATCTCCCTCTCTAAATCTTTAACTCCGAAACTCAAACCTTGTGGCACTGCACTAGTTCTTGTTGTTCCACAAACTCTTTGCTCTCAACCTGTTTTTCCGCTGTGTGAAGAAACAAAGTAAGTGAAGTTCTTTCAGAGGCATAGGGTGGATTAGAACCTCAAACTTTGTTTTATAAAAGTGTTCACTAAAGGAAAAATAACATTAAAAAAATACTTTAATTATGCTAATAAGTAATACAAAATATATTTCTGTAAAATATTTAGAAGTAATATTCTAAAATAATATGTTAAGATTTGGTTAATACACTAATATAGAGACTTATAAGTAAGCTTGTAAAGCAAATATAACCATTTTACAATTAAAATAATGCAATCCAGTTTCATAAAACTTCCTCTAAAATTTAAAAATTAACTTTCGCTTGAGTGATGAATTCGATGAGCTTTATTGAGTAATCTTTTTCTTTATATGAATCAACAGTAAACTTACTGGTAACATTCTTTTGTGAACAAATGATATCAACCCATGTACTGGGAATATTAAGCATATTTTAAAGTCTAAGTGGCTCATGTAACAAGATGTTTTACTGTCCCACTAACTCAATCACTTTCAAGTGATGGGGTTAGTCACAAGGTTTTATAAAGTTGTTTAAGTTCTTTAATAAGTTTTAAATATTATTTGAATATTCACTCTATTTTTCTAGATGCTTTTCTGCTTCAATTAAAATATAGTTTTATTAATAAACACACTCTTATAAGTAGCAAACTGTCTGGTCACCCTGCCGGGCTACTTACAGACATTTTTTAAATTTTCAGTCGCCCTTGCAGAAAATGAGTTGTCTCATGCCACCAAACGGCCATGAGGGTACATCACTGACTTATAACCATGCAATATTGCAAAAAAAGTGACTCGCTGTAATAATGTTGAAGTCTTGTTTATGGTAGCATAAGTTGGTAATATTTTTGTATTGTAATTCAGCTCCGTCACTCAAATAGCTCGAATGTTCAGAATTTTTAAAGTTTATGAGCATCTTTATTGATAAAGCAATAAATAGCTATACCTTGCTTTGATTCATGCTTACTTTGGTTGAACGCATTTTGATTAAACACAATAACTTTGGATATCAAGTTTTTTATTTTTTAGAAAATAAAAAACAAATGGGTGCAAAGTTGTCTGTTTGTTATTCCAGTGAAAACCTAACAATGTATATTGTATTAAAAGTTTTCTGCTAAGTCAAGAAAAATCAGAGTTGTTTTTTTAATAGTTTTCAACATGGCCTACTATAATTACACAGTCAGATATCTTGCTTTTTAAAGCGAAAAATTAGAAAGGTAACTTTTCAAAACATAATTATATCATATAACATGATTGGCCACACTTACCTTGATAAAAACTAATTTTTAGACAGGTTTTTGTGTACGAAAGTGTGTATTAAGTATAAATTTTGTTTGACAAATATGATAAAAGTCTGATAAATTAAACACTTTTCTTTGCCTGATGATTTTATTTCTATAAAAAACTTACACTACTGAAATAAGAAAATTTTATATTGTACTCTGTTCATCCATAAAAGTTGTAATAACTTTAAACAATAAAATAATATAATTTGTAATGACTTTATTACTATATACAACCCTCGTAATTAGGGTTGGCATTTGGCAATGCCGACCTAAGTGCTGACCTAAAAGTGTTTGAGGTCGGCAAATATTGCCGAACTTGTTTCTATGTTTTATAGTAAGACCTTTGCATCAATTTTTTGCCAACCTTTAAAAAATTGAGGTCGGCAAATTATTGCCGACCTCATTTTTCCTAATTCCGAGGGTTGTGTATATATATATATATATATACAACACACACACACATCTCTCAATAATGTTAACAAGATATATAAAAAGATAAACAAAAACCTAACAATAAATGAAGAATATACATTAAAAGTATAATAATTCAGCAATTTACACTGTTCTTTTCATCAGAAAAGTGTTTCTGTTTATTGTAAAAATAGATTTTTGTAAGACGTGATTCACAAATTTTACACCAATAATTTGATGATCATGATATAAGATCATTCCATAAAATGATCATCACATAAAAAAGTAGTACAATCATTTAATATAAGCACCCATTCTGCAGCATATCACAAAAAGTTGAGTTTCTTATAAGCAAAATGACAGTATCTAATATTCTAATTGCTTTTGCGACATAATGGGTAAGATCAATAATAGTCTGGTAAATCTCCACGATAAAATTTTTCTAAATAATAGCATTCTACTACACCAGATTCAGCTAATAAACTTTTAAAATATAAATTCAGCTAATAAAATTTAAATAACTTTTCAGAGTTTAAAATATGAGATAATTGCTTATCTTAAATCCATTCGACTAAATTCCTCAAAAATAAAAGTTTCATGTCATCTAAAACAGCTGCATTTCCAATACAAAGTTGTTGTATTTTTGCTTACTGTTACTTATTGTCCACTATATATTAATCAACTTTAAAGAGCTTGAGGAATCAGTCCTATCTAGAAAATAACTTTTAATAGCTGCAGTGGGATCAAATATTGCAAGAGCAAGTAGTGTACTTTGTTTATTATCTTAATGAAGTGATTTATAAAATAACTTAGAGTCATTTTTTAAATTTGACTGAAGTAATTGGTCTTTATCATATACATTACTTAGTAACTTCCATAATATTTCACCAGTATGTACATCAATAACATGAAACTGATCAAAATAAAAAACAGGGATTGTAAAACATTTAGAATTTAGTAAATTGTTTTTGAGAATAAGGACAGTCATGAAGGTCACTACATTACTGGACTGTTATTACTGGACTGATCTACATTCAAGAATAAGGGAATGTTGTAAAGATTTTTTGAAAACTTTGGCTAATCAACTGGTTTTTTGTATTTTATTCTATTGAATTCAGTTATTAATTTGTTTGAACTATTTTTTTCTACATAATTTCTTATATAGGCTGGAAAATTCTCCAATACACTTTTTTTTTTTTTTTTTTTTTTTTATTGCAATACACAGCTGATATTTTAAAACCATGCAGGCCATAGAACATAAGATAATTTAGAGAACTATGAAACATGCATAAGTTCATCAACTACAATTGTTTCTGTAACTTTTAATGTACCAAAGTTTTGATTAGTTTCTAACTTAAATAAAATATCTATTTGTCATTATATATTTTGAGCTTATACCCTTCAAGATTAAAATTATTTCAAGATTAAATCATTTCAACAGTGAATTTCATCTTTTTCTATAAATATACTGGATTTATCCTGATTATTTTTGATGAGTGACGGACAAATGCT